TGATGACAATCTCTCTGGGTTCTGTCTCCTCACCTTGATGTGTTGAACTGTTTTCTCAAACTCTCCTTTCATTTTCATTTCTTCATTGTGTTTTAGTTTCTTCTGTAATGATTGCAGTGCTATATTGAGCTCCTCCTAGAATTGAACAAAAAAATCCATAAAACACCAGATTACAGTGAAAAAACAAGAGAAGACAGTACAATGATATGATCATATAATGCAGTGCAAAAGTATTTGCCAGATTTCTTCTGTTTTTGTGAACATCTCATACTAGATTAATTCAGAAATTAAAACCTGCCATAAAACAGGATGTCTTTCAGGGTGGCTTGGGGAGGAAAGGCATCCAAAGCACATCAACTGGTCACTGGGGTTCCTCAGGGATCAGTTCTTGGACCCCTCCTCTTCTCCATACACACTACATCACTGGGTCCCATCATACAGGCCCATGGCTTCTACCACTGCTATGCTGATGACACACAGCTCTATCTTTCATTTCAACCAGATGATCCAACGGTTGCTGCACGGATCTCAGGCTGCCTGGCGGACATCTCGGCATGGATGAAAGAATATCACCTACAGCTCAACCTGGCAAAGACTGAGCTTCTTGTCTTCCCTGCCACTCCAACTCTACAGTATGATTTCTCATCCAGCTAGGTTCTTCTACAATTACCCCATCGACTTTCTTCAGAAATCTTGGTGTAATCTTTGATGACCAGCTGACCTTCAAAGACCACATTGCAAAGACTGCTCGATCTTGCAGGTTTGCATTGCACAACATCAGAAAGATCAGGCCCTTTCTAATGGAGCATGATGCACTACTTCTTGTCCAGGCCCTTGTCATTTCTAGGCTGGACTACTGCAATGCTCTTCTGGCTGGACTTCCATCAAGCACAATCAAACCTCTACAAATGATTCAGAATGCAGCGGTACGACTGTCTTCAACGAGCCCAAAAGAGCCCATGTTACACCTCTCTTTATCTCCTTTCACTGGCTACCGGTTGCGGCTCGCATCAAGTTCAAGACATTGATGCTTGCATATAGAACAGCTACAGGGTCAGCACCCGCCTACTTCCACTCACTACTACGAATCTACATCCCCTTCAGAAGTCTGAGATCCGCTAGTGAGCGACGCCTCGTGGTACCATCACAGAGAGGCTCAAAATCACTTTCCAGAACATTCTCGTTCACCATTCCTGGCTGGTGGAACGATCTTCCCACCCCTATCCGGAATGCTGAATCCCTGACAATTTTCAAGCGACAGCTGAAAACTCATCTCTTTCGTCACCATTTGACTTGATTTAATCCCCCAGTCCATCTTGTACTAATCTGAACAATGCCTGAAACTTTGTATTACGAGCACTGCCTCTGTTTATTTGTCTCTTTATGATGAATCGCTTGTTGTTTTCCTCAATTGTAAGTCACTTTGGATAAAAGCTAAATTAATAAATGTAAATGTAAATGTAACCAGCTCTGATCAATCAAATCAACACTTAAACAGGACTTTTAAAACAGCATGCAGTTGGTGTAAACTGCAGATCTCCTCAGATCCTGATGAACGCCTCTCATTTCTCTGCTTCAGGAACGACTCACACAAGTTTATTAAGGATCAGCTTTTGAGGATCTTCTCCTGCAGACGGGACACTCCTGAGTTTTCTTGGTTCTCCAGAACTGCTGAAGACACCCTTTACAGAAACTGTGACTACATGACAGAAGAACAGGATTCTTGAAGATTTCCTGACATACAGGACAAGAAAAATCATCTTCAGATAGAGAAGCCATTTTCACTCTTTGAGCTCCAGCGATCTAAACTTTACTTTCACTTTCTGAATGACAGTTTGAAAAACGAATCACCTCGAGAATCACAAAGATCTGCTATCTATTCAGAAACAACCTTCACAAAGATCCTTCTGTAAAGAGTTTCTCTTGGTTCTTCACTGATGGCTGATTCTTTATTGCTTTTGTCAGTAGAGAAGAGAGTCAGTGTGACAGAAAGCAGAAATAACACGTCAGTCTCTTCCTGGTAAGAGCTGTAAGAGGGTGGAGTTTATGATCACATGAGTGTGTTTAAACAAGTCAGACAGGAACATCAGGATTTCTTCAGGTAACAAATTGTATTCAAAATTAACACAAAAATAATATTATAATCTAGGTTAGTTGATAATTCAGCAGCAAAAGTCACTCTACAAAAATCATGAGTGCACAATAATTTTATAAAATCTAAACATTTAGTGAAAAAACAGTATTTATTGGTGAAGAAATAAAAGTGAATTTTAAGTGTAGGACTAAATCGGGTAAAATGCTGTTTGCATTGTTTTTTATTTGTTATTTAAGTTTCCCATTTGAAAGGCCAGGCGAAAGGCTGGAGTGGAACAAAGATTCAAAGACTGCCACTGTAATAAAACTCTAGTGCAGATTTCACTGTAATATCCAAGAAAAGTTATGAAAGCCTGAAAAATAAGATACCACTGAGCAAAACAAATGTCATACTGAACAGTCCTGGTGGCAAGCTGGGGTGTATGGGCCAGATGAGAACAAAAGTAAGCGTAAAAAAAAAAATGTACTTGAAAAATGCATATGTGGTGAGAGGAGCCCACGTTGGAAATTTGCTGTGACGCAGTGCTGCAATTCAAATGGGGCTAATAAAAAGAATAGACGAAATAACAGAGAGTGTGTTTGGCTCTGTGAGACTGATGGCATGAGAACCACTTAAAATAATGCTTAAAAGTACAGCGGAGCCATACAGTGTTCATGCAGCTCGTAGAGTACCAATTCCAAAGCTTACGAAGGTAAAACAGGAATTGGACAGAAAGGAACGGCTGGTTGTGATTGAAGAGGTTTTTGAGGCTACTCCATGCTGTGCCCCAATGGTGCCAGTCATCAAAAGGAACGGAGACGTTAGAGTATGTGTCGACCTCAAACGACTGAACAAAGCCGTCATTCGCGAAAAGTATGTTCTGCCAACCTTGGATGACATCTTTGTTGCTTCTGGTTTGTGCATTGTAAATCACAGAAAGTCTACAAAATATGTTGTCTTCCAAAAACTCGGGTCTTTTTTGTCACGTCCGTAACGCATGTGTATTTCCCAAATCTAAAATAGCCTATAAAACACGTTTATAGACGGATACTTTTCTGATGTCTGGACTCTGTTTGGGATTGAGAAAAACATAAAGAGATGGTTCAATATATTGGTAATGAATACATTCTGTGAGAGTTTATATTTCAGGTTTTGACTGCGAATGTCACGTCAGTAACGCTGGAATTGCCCAACAATGAAACTAAAAATAATTAGGCCTACATGATGTCTCGGGACAGTTTCTTATTACTGCAATATATATTTTTAAATTGTATTGCCTAAACGACTGCAGTGTTGCCACATGCAATTAAAACAGTGCAAAACTGAAAATTGTACAAAGCAGCATATAAATTAAGAACAAAAGTTTTTGTCTCTTTGGCAGGCGCGCGCGTGTCTCTCTCTCAGAGGCGCCTCATGTCTCCTGAGAAAAAAACAAAACCATATTATATTGTATGTAATACTATGCAAAAATTGCAAAAGCCAAACCAAACGAGGCATTTGTCCTAAAACAGACACTTTGCCTAAAGCTGCTCTGCAAGTTTGAAATGCTCATTAGACACTCTCCGCATGAAAGACCAAGAGATTCACACCTTTATTTCAACACCCCCACGATGAAGCTAACTACCCCCAAACCCCAACCCCCTCCAGCTGGACTGAATTCAGTCACACTACTGGTTGCTCAGTGTAAAATTGACATGCTCTATCTAAAAGAAAAAAATGGTGTAACAAACTAGCAAACTGCAGAATACACACGTCTGTATTAATCATTTTATATATCATTTTATTATAAAAAATAAAAAAAAACACCACAATCCGGGATTTGAACCTGTGTCGCTGAAATAACTGACTAACCTTCTACCACTCGACTCTGGATTAATTTGAAAAACCAACTTCCCTTTTCCATTGTGTGTTTGCGCACGCAAGACAGACGCGCTCTTCATTCATCTCACTTCGCAATAATACAAATAACTGTCATCATGCAGATAATTCTTGTGTGTTTATTATAGTGTTCAAATGATTATTATTATTTTTATTTATTTTTTTCATATGAACTGGACTGCCAGTGAGCACGCTGCTTTTTGATGCTGCATTTGATGAATAGCCTACAGCAAAACTGACTTATAGCCCCAATGATAATAGCACCGTTTATAAAAATTATTAATGGAACAAAAACACATTTTTGCTGTAATAATAACTACGACTTTTTTTAAGTCGTTTCTTAAATATGAACCAAAACGCGATCATACATTATTAACGTCTTAAGCCCCGTTCACACCAAGAAAAACTGACTTATAGCACTGATGATAATAGCACCGTTTATTTTTCAACCTCACATAAAAAATGTATAATGGAACAAAAACACATTTTTGCTGTAATAATAACTACGACTTTTTTAAAGTCGTTTCCTATGAACCGAAGCACGATCACACATTATTTACGTCTTACTGTCATTATTAGCCCTTCATGGGTTCAGTCTTACATGTATTCTGTAGCTTATTGTGAATATAAACCATCAGTTTCGGACACGGCAAAGCTAAACTGCACCTGACT